TTTATTTGGAACATTTACATTAAATATTTTTGAATGTATTTATTTTATGATCACAATTTTATTTATTGAATTGTCTATTTTTGTTTATGTTAAAATATATATATTGTATTGATAAGCCTGAGTAGTCTGTTGACTGACCATATGTTCAAATAATTGTCATGGGCAGGTTACAATATAAAAAATAGTTTGTCATAAACATATCTTGTGATTATTTGACAGGAGTTTTACTTTTAAGTGTGCTTAAAATGCACTTACTTGTAAGTGTATTTAATTTAGTCATAATATAAATACAATAAAAATCAAACCAAGCTTTAGAATAATTATCATTTTGATCCGTACACTGGTAATGTCTGACTGGGCCTCGTGCCACTTTATGTTCAATAAATTGGGCCCCGAGGTCAAAAAGATTAAGAACCCCTGCTTTAGAAGTTAACCCAGTTCGAGTTACCTGACACAGTTAACTGACATTAGCAAAAATGACAATAAAACCCTCAGCTTTACAAATATTTCATTAAAATTTGCTGTAGTAGATGAGTCATTTTCAACACTTTTGATATTGCATGCTATTTTCAGAATTTGACCAAATGGCTATGACTCCATCATTTCTCACTATAAAATTATCTCAGTCTAACACTTTGGCATGAAAGGAGGTGTGTGATATGCTTTTGTTCAAAGAACGCTAGGACAATAATTTACATTTTATTTCTATGATTGAAATCAATACTGACATGTTACAAAAGGCATGTTAAATTTTCTTAGCCACAAGGTGGTTGAAACTGTTTTATTGTGTCATCGCTAATGTGGGTAAATTCCACAAGTTTCCTTTGTTGACATGATCCAAAGGGATCGTTTAGCTCACTTTAGTTTCTTAAAGTAAAAGGGGTTTAGTTGGCAATTCTTGTGTCCCTGAACAAAGAAGAAAACTGCTGACTTTTTAAGTCAGCTAAGAAAGCTTTTTATCTTCTGGCATCAACACGGCAGTTTAACTAATAATATACTGTAAATATGGACTATATACATTTATTATAGGCAATTAAAAGGTTGAAATAAGTGCTGTATAAGTTTATCATTTAAACATTTGTTTCAACTTAAAACATGATTGAAACTGGTGAAATTCTGTCAGTTGTAAAGCCATAACAAATCACAAATGTGTTTGCATTTTTTAAAGTGTTTTGAAATACAGAAATGAAGATGCAGACTTTAAAGATAATGTGTTTTGTATGCATGCTTTGTCTGTGCGTATTGGTGTGGAAGATGATTGAAAAGCAGCCCTGAGACAAGAGGCCGAGCTCAGGAAATTAAACGACTTGTCGCTGCAGCACCCTCATGAGTGTGTGTGTTTGTTTGTGTGTGTGTCTGGGGTTTTGTGTGTCAGCAAGTGGGGGAAATTTTATTGCTATTGATCTAAAACAAACCAATCCTTTTCTTCAACCTTTGGAGAAAAACCCGATAGCTCCTTGACCAATTTTAACAATGCTTCTAACATTGAATGTGTTTATAAAAATGCCCACTGATAGACTCAAGAGACTGGAGCTCATAAAACGATCGGTAAAGACAAGGACAGTTTGTTGAAAAAAGACAATCTCATGAATTGTTGGAAAATAAAAGAAGATGGAAAAACACATTTTTGTCTTTTTAGTTTATTATCTTACACTGTGCACACATTGGATTAATCAACTACCCTGTGCGAAGATCAACACTCCCTGTGCAAAGATTATACAAGATTATTGCTTTATAGTTAAAATTTGATATTTTGTATTCCCTCATGTTAAAATAAAGCTTCAACATAAAAGTACCGTGTTTAAGTTTTATTGTTTGAATTAAATGGTTTTCACTTGCCAGTTTTTACTTTATATTGATTATTATGACCCCCGCACGCGAAGCAAAAGCGGGAGTCATATTGTTTTCGTACTGTTTTTTTTTTTTTTCAGTGATTTTTGGTCAACGCAGCACAAAAACTGCTGCACCAATCAACATGAAATTTGCCAGGACTGTAGATGAGTCTGACCTACACTGCGCCAGCCAATGGTTTTACAATAGAGCCCATATTTGAGGAGGGGGCTCCTTTCAAAGTGGGGGTGTCTGGACATGCAAAAATGCTTATAACTCAGACATAGGAGCTTCAGATTTCTTTTGTTGTTTAGATCTGATGAAGCTCTATCCATCAGGCCCACCAATCAGTGCCCCCCACCCCCCGGACCCCCAATTTATTTGAAAAAGGGGTGTCTGGACACACAAAAATGGTTATAGCTCAAAATCTATAAAACATAGGAGCTTCAGATTTTCATTTGTTGTTTAGCTCTGATGAGGGGCTATCCATCAGGTCAACCAATGCCCCCCCCCCCCCAAAAAAAAAAGGCCCCCACCCAAACCACTACAATTTTGGGATGCACCTACTAGCATGCCATTTATTAGGAATAAAGTCTTCAGAGTTCTGGATGCATTTGTGCTTGCGGGGGTCATTGTGTTATCGCTATGCGGTATCTAGTTTATTTTTGTGATAGTTCAAAAACTTTTGGAAGATTGATTCAGCTTGATTTTAAAACATTCCAGAACATATACAGGTCAAAAGATTTGATTATAAATTAGTTTTACACTATTTCATTTGATGGCAATAAATAAAAAAGTCTGTTTTTATATAAGGAAATAACATGTTACATAATTGTTTCATATGTGGTATTTCTGTGCATATGCGTAGTACTTGCTGGTATTTATTAGGTATTATGTACGTACTTGGTGTTTACAAGTTGCGTCATTGTGTCCATATGTGGTACCTTGAACCTGGCATTTCCAGGGTATTAACATATACAGACATGGTACTTACCTTATGTATTGTGAACTAACCAGGTTAGCACATGCTGGGTACTCATATGATACTTCCATGGTACTTACCTAGTTTGTATTGTGTACATATCTGGTGCATACCAAGTACCTACTCTGTAATTACATTTTATGTACCTGATAAGTACCAGCAACATACCAGGCTGCATTCCATATTGCTACCTTCATATCTTCAGACAGTTGTGTGCAGAAAATGCAAAATTTTCTTAGTGCTGTGTGTTGTGTGTAGTGTGTTTTGAAATTACTAGTTTCTAAGATTTAAACACTTCCACTAGCATGAAGACACTTGCTGTCAAATGCTGCAATTGTCTTGCAAGATTGCCATTTTTTTGTGGGGAGGGACCACTCATGTGCGTCCCATGTGGGCTGTTAGTGGAAACTACAATAATGATAGTCTCGGCGATGCCCCAGAAATCACACACAATTACAATCTGTAAATATTTTTGGAATGCTGTATTAGTGCTGTGTTTATTCTTGCAGTAACAGAATACAATATTTTGTGTGTATTTCACAGATTAAACAAGATTTGAACAAATTATATAACGTGATGAGGATAGGTAGTTTGTAATGCTAAGTGAAGCTTCACAGCGTTCAGCTTTGGGGATGTGAAAGGAAAACACAATTACCTTGAGAAATTGCATTTTCGGGTGAAAAGGCAGTGTCAATGCTAAGGTTTGAATGAATTTATCAAATTTACAGAAGAAGCTAGAACTGAACTGAAATCTCAATGTAGCAAACACTAGCTAAAACTAGCTAAACAATAGCTAAAAGTTAGAATACTTGGCTAAAAGTTTGAAGTAGTGCAATTTTACCATACATTAGTAAATCAATATAAAAAGCTAAGGTGAGCAGAATAATACTAGTAAAAAAACAAAGAAAAAAACTGCTAACTTATTAAGTAAAATGCTAGCTAGAGCAAAAGCCTATCTAAAACCTAAAAATAGCTAAATGCTAAAAGTAACAAAAGGATAACTAAAAGTAGCAAGAAACAGTTAAGAACAAAAGCTCTGTAAATTAAACAGAACTATTACTAACATAATATGCATTATAATCAGTAGAAGTATCAAAAACGTTTTAGAAGTATCCTGGACAATGCTTTTGCATAATTTGAAGAGATGTCGGTGTACTTTAACAAGGAAATATTGTGTATATAAAGTCAAATATTTTGAAAAAGATGAATTTACAAAAAAAGTCATACCCATCTCCAGAATGAGCTGAACATTTGTATTTGAACAGCAGTACAAATAAAGTATGTGAAAGTAGTTAAACCTCAAAAGATGAAAACCCCAAATCATGCTGAATCAGATCTCTTTGTTGAGATCCGCTAACCATTCTTAAGCACTTTTGAAGGCATAGTGAGATGTGCTGTACTACTGTTGGAGATTTTGACCGTAAAGATCTGCATATCTGAATAACATCCAGAAGAATTAAAGTACCCGCACTGTTTCCCGGCAGAACAGTCATTAAACCTGTCAGTGGTTTAGTGTTGCAGTTGATTTATGACAAATATAACTGCTGGACAAACCATGCATACTGAGGGACCCCTTGTGTGGTAATGTTGAGTACTGCCTGCTGTCATGTGTTATAAATAAATATTCTAATTTATATTATTGATGTCTGTGCATTTGAGTATAAGACAAATTTAATGGTAACGGTTGATTTTTTGAGTGTGTGTTCAATAAAAGGCATGGAAAATGAGTTGAAATAAACGGCATTGAACTGACAATGTTGCTGACTTCATTTTTTTCTGTGTTGCAGGGGACAGACTGCTGGACTTAAGTCTACAAAATTCAACTAAAACATCCCACTCTCTGCACCGCTGCTTCTGTGTCACAATAACAGGAACCCACCTCTCTGACTGGCTGTTCTATGTTCTGTGCGATGATGCTTAAAGACAAAAGTGTTCATCTTTTCTTCAGAGGATGTTGACGGGATCTTTCTGGGGTGTATTTTCCGTATTGTGAGGAATATTTTTCAGACGCCTTTTCACTGAATCGGAGAAAAATTATTGGTGGCTACCTTTCCCCTGGATGGTACAAAGTGACGACCTTTTGAAAAGCATCATTGGGAATCACGACCATCGTCTCCTCTGGAGTTACCCACTCTCTTATTCTTGTGTGTCACTGGGGTTTTAATGTGTTTGCAGCTACAGGGCATCAGTGAGAAATAGAGAAAACATTTTTTAATCTATCAAAGACAAAAGAGGACACAACAAACGAGTAGCAGCAGCCATGTCCCGGTGGAGGAACCATTTAAAGATTTGGTCTGGACTCCTTCAAACCACCAAGAACAGGGGGTGGAAGACTAGATGTGAGCACTTTGGAGGTTCATTTGATATGGGCTGGTGGATGTCCACACTATTATGGCTGGGGCTCTTGCTTCTGCAGACTTGTCCATCTGCTGTGTTGGCTCAGAAACTGGATGAGAACGATCCGGTGGTTACGACTGCATACGGCAAACTGCGTGGCATCAAGAAGGAACTCAACAACGAGATCCTCGGGCCTGTCGTCCAGTTTCTTGGTGTCCCGTATGCTGCGCCGCCTACTGGTGAGCGTCGCTTTCAGCCTCCCGAGCCACCAGCGCCGTGGTCAGACATCCGCAACACCACACACTTTGCCCCCGTGTGTCCTCAGACCATTGTGGAGGGCCGCCTGCCAGATGTGATGCTGCCGGTGTGGTTTACCAATAGCATCGATGTGGTTTCCACTTATGTCCAGGATCAGAGTGAGGACTGTCTTTATCTTAACATCTACGTTCCAACTGAGGATGGTGAGTTAGCCTGCGGGCCCAGGGTAGGATGGTTGTGGGTAGAGTTGGGAGTGGGGTGGATAATTTTAAACCCACAACTGTTTGCTACAGATAATCTGTCTTGTTTGGGAGTGATGTTATACGTGTGAGTGTACATCTCTGTCCGCCAGTAGAGGGAAAGCATGACCTTGTGCATGTTTAATGTGCATGACAATGTTTACACAAGCTGAGAGTGTGGAAGTGATTTGTGAAAGAGAAAGCAATGTACACACATGTTTACACACCTCTGTTATCCATCCACAACTCCTCTAGTCTTTTCACTCCATCTTCTATCCTGTTTGACCTTTATGCTCTCCTTATTGCCCCTCTAACAGATTGTCCTCCCATTCCCTGCTCCTCTTTCTCCTCACTGTCATAGTTACCCCTACTGTCGCCCACTTCCTCTCTCTTCTCATGTCTGTTTCTCATCATAACGTATTGTGCTCTGCCACAAAGGCCACAGTTCATTAAACAAGACAGTCGTTGTCATGATCATCACCGATTGATTTGGCTGACTGAACGAGTGGCTGGCTGACTGATAGACTGAATACTGCTCTGATTGAGCTGGTGTGATTCATTCTTCCCCTCTCCTTTTTTTGTTTCTCTTCCCCTTCCTCTCTAAGTCTTTTTCAGTCAATCAGCTTTGTGTATGAGGCGTGTGTCAGTGTGTGCATGCATACCAGCTCCTGTGTGCACTGCGCGTCCAGGGGCTCCATGTTATTCTTTAGTTTTCTATTCATTTTACAGTCAAAAGAATATCCAAGGAATGTGCCAGGAAACCGGGCAAGAAAATATGTAAACAAGGAGGTATGTATATTCTGAACTATACCATAGAACGATGAAGGAAATCTGTAGCTCTAAATACAACTGTATGGTATGGGACACTGTATTGAAAAGAGTCATAAGGTCAAGGTCTACAAATTCATCCAGGACATGATTCGGGACTTTGGCTGGTTTTTAGAATGTTGAAGTCATTTTAACTTTGGATAGAAATGACTAAAAACCTACATTTTTGAACCACTTAGCGGGGGTGCAACGACATCTCGTGGCACGAGATCTTGCAAGATTATGAGGTCAGGAGTTCTTGTTGAGTACTTTCAAGTTTCAGTCAGCATACTTATATCTTGTAAAAAAGTAGTACTGAAGATGTCTCAGTTACTGTACTTTAAAGTATTTGTGTGTCAGCAGTTTAGACAGAAATACCAGGCACTAGGACCACACAACTTTTCACTTAAGTCTTGTCGTCAGGGCAGTTTCCCTCTGTAGCTTCCTTCGCTGCGAGGAAAAGTTTATTTGAGTTTTATTAGTTTAGTTGAGGCGAGATGATGAAGTTACACAAAATCAGACTGTACTGTTCACTACCTGTGCAAGTCATTTAATAGTTTTTTAAAAACTTTTTTTGTCTGAATTTTCATTGAGGGTCTTTTTAAGTTGTTTTGATAGCCTTTGGGAAAATATTTGTTTATGAGAAATCTATTAAAAACATGATATAAAGGATGACATACAGTAAGAAAATTAACTTTTTTAATTTTAAAATATCAGTAAACCTTTTGTTCTCGCTGATTACAAAAATGTTTTAAGAACACACAGTATATACAG